CACACACACACACACACACACACACACACACACACACACACACACACACACCTGTGCAGGTAAACTTAACCGGCACACCCAACAATATTATCCACAATTCTCTCACCACGCGCGAATAACTCCGATGTTTTTGCATGGGTTTCCTCCCTTGTGGGAGAAGAAATGAAGGGTAACGAGTGTTTGAGAGATGCAAGCGGGGGAATTTGCCGGTGTTTTTGTAAAAGTACCCGTGTTGTGATTGTTTGTTGTACCAGCAGGGTAACAGATTCGGGCATCCTGACATCGTTACATCGATGGTTTAGCCGAGGTCTGTGTTAATGAGGAAGGTATGCACTTGGGTTCCCCTAACGCCTTGGCACAGGTTGAAGAAATAGGAAAAATTGACGCCGTGTATTTTAAGAACATTTTAATGAGAGGTTGTTTTTGCTGCTGTTGATGCTTTTTTTCCCCTGACCATAACTAAACATTTCCTTTTTGAAAATGAATTAAATAATTAAGCTATAAGCAAAAATTAATTAATAAATACACAGGACCGAGCAAACTATACATCAGAAAGAATCACCACACACGTTACATTGCAATACGATCACTATGCTCTCTTTTTTGTAGATTTGTTTACGCTCTCGTCTACACAGTTTAAGCAATACTTTCTTGACATGACCATTTTGATTTAACTTGCTACATTAGTAAATATTATAATACATGTATGTGTGATACTAACATTAAATCAAGTTAAGAAATATACATTTTTTTAAAATGTTCTTTGTTTTCGCCAAATAGTAGAAATGAGTATCTATAGAATGATGTTCACGGATAACTTTTAGCGTGTTTTTTTTTAGCAAATCCTCATAGACTTAGTCATGCACCTCGTGATGGGGAAGAAATGTCTCTCTTTGGTTGTAAAAATCTATAGTGACTGGAGTTTTCTCTTTTCGACACTAACGCTTTCCCTGTATAACAGAAGCTCTATACAGTGGAATATTGTGCCTCTGCAAATTGCACGCTTCTTTAATTTGTGAAATGAAAAGAGACAGACAGCAAAACAATTTTTAAAAATAGAAGAACAAAACAGATTGATAGAAAGTGAAAGTGTGTTTGTGTGTGTGTGTGTTTGTGTGTGTGTGTGTGTGTGTGTGTATGTGTGTGTATGTGTTTGTGTGTGTGTGTGTATGTGTGCTTGCGTGCGTGTCTGTTTCTTGTCTTTTGTGTGAAAGAGAAAGAGACAGAGAAAGAGAGAGAGAGAGAGAGAGAGAGAGAGAGAGAGAGAGAGAGAGAGAGAGAGAGAGAGAGAGAGAGAGAGAGAGAGAGAGAGAGAGAGGTGAGGGAGGCAGGCGGGTAGATAGACACCAGGGAAATTAAAGATAGTATAGATTGATATCGTCTAACTGGCAGACGCCGATGCACACTCTGGGAATAGAAAGAAAGAATGATAGATGGATGAATGCTATTTATCAAATGTCCTCGTTCTTGAGGCGGAACGAAGGACAGCGGCACGGGGTAAAAGGGAGGTAGAAGGATCGAAATAGAAAGAGAGAAAGGCGGACACGCAGAGAGCAAGGCTGAAAAGGATGAGAGTGGGAGGAGGAATAAGAGTTAGAAGCACGATGGCACAGCGGGAAGAAGCTCGAGGCGAACAAAAGATAATTTAAAATTTGAACGTAACGCACAGCATGCCAACACATTATTTCCGTATCTTCTTTCTGTGTTCCAGATTCATTGTAAGCATTCTGCCCCCTATACACACTACCACCAACATAAAACTTGCCAGTTAGGAATTCGTATTGCTTTCCTTTGTCTGAACGTTTTAGAAGGTTTGGGTCGACAGAGGTCGGATATTCTACACATGCATTCATCCAGCTCAGCTCTGACACGAAAGGACTATGATTACACGGTGAGAAGATTTGAGCTGGCGACATAAATCAAACATTGTGGGACTATACAAAAACCACGCCCCCTTGAAGATGGCTTACAGCAAGTGGGGATAAAGGGGTGTGGCTTGGGTGATTTCAAACAACGAAGCTTGTCATCTGCGCAAAATGCCGGAAGTCTTCTATGTTTTGCGTTTGTTTTGTTGATGTTTTAAAAAAATTCTGTTACGCTGCCTCAAATGAAGAGAGATTAAGTGGCTCGACGTTTTTGTGCGTGTTTATCTTATGCGTGCGTGTGTTCTCGTATGGCTAAGCAAAAGTGTTTGAATATTGAGTGCATTTTATTAGTGTGATTGCGTGTGCGTATGTGGGTTTTGTAAAGGCAGTGAACGTTTATTTGGCTTGTGTGTGTTTGTGCGTGTGTATGTGTGAAAGTGTATGCGTGTATGTGTGTGTATATTATATAATATGTTTACTAAGTTGTAAGAAGGTCAATTGTAATCCAGATACTGAAATGAATCAAGGCCGTTTCGCAAATTGCATGGAGCATGGGAACGATGTTTTCAGAATTAAGGTGCTTGTATGCCTATTTCGAAAAGAGGCTCTTTCATGACAGAGCAATAATGTAATTACAGGAGAACCAAAGGCGGGGAAGTCCTGTTGTTTGAGTTTCAGACACTTTAAGATCGATGCTGCACAAGTACATAACAACGCCAACTCTTTCGTGGCAGAGGGCAAATGATATAGGGATATTTGATACTTAACAAGTGTCCAAAATATAGCTCCCCGAGACGCAAAGAAAACCTCTTCAGCCATCTTGTTTTAGGAACACACACGAAGGGACCAAAATAAAAATAACCTGTTCCACATTCGAGTTCTTTCAGAAATGTATTATTTACTTTTCGCCAGTTGGGGGTTGGGGGGTGGGGGTTGACGCATGAGCAACGTACGTAAACATTTGTCTGTTTTGGGTTGTAAGTTCTTATTTATTTTTTTATTTTCCAGCATGAGTGACATACTAATCCAATCCAAATTTCTGAGGAAGCACATTGGCAGCTTTTCTCTAATACTCCCAAAGCCCCCCCCCCCAAAAAAAAAAAGAAATCAAAAAAGAAAAAAAGAAAAAAAGACATTCCCTGTGACATAAAAGCAGTGTGTATCTAAATCAAACACGCCCTTATTTTTGTTTGCCTGACTAGTTCCAGACCTTATTCAGTCAGTGTTTGCT